GGGCAAAGTGGGTGAAGGGGGGGTCAAAGGCACAAACTACAGGTTATAAAATATGCAAGTCCCAAGGTTGTAATGTACAGCATGGTGGCTATAGTTAGCAATACTATATTGTATATTTGAAACTTGCTAAGAGAGCAGATCTTAAAAATTCTCATCACAAAAAAAAATGTTAACCAGACTTATTGTGATCATTTTGCAATGTATACAAATATTAAATCATTATATTGTACACCTGAAGCTAATATAATGTTATATATCAATTATATCTCAATTTAAAAATAATTTTTAAACTCTTTCTGAACTGGGATTTTGAAATGACTCTTGAGACTCGTTGTGGTTTCATGTTTGGGTTTCAGAGGACCTTTGAGATTTTATTACAAATCATGTATGTGCTTATGTGCATTTTTCTGGGGACATGGTGCATGGCTTTCAGATATTTAAAGGAATCCTTGATCATAAAAGTTTAGTTGAATAGCTAATGAATCCGTTTAGTCTGACTATGATTAATGCAGTCAAACCCTAATGTTGGTTTTTCCCCCCTAACTCATTAACCTGATATTTAACATTGTGTTCGGGATCATGTTGACAGTTCCTACAGATATAAACCTGGTACACCAAACTACAATCGCCTTGGAATTTGACACATGGGCCCATTCAAAAGTCCAATTAAAATTAGAAAAGTAATTATATTCTAAAAATAACGATTACTAATACTATTTTTACACCTCACCAGGTACCTGTTTATGTAATCTCATTTCATTCTTAGCACAACTCCGTGGTGTGAGGTGGTTATGTCACTCCCGTTTCACAAATGAGGAAACCAAGGCCCTGATAGAAGACATGACTGGTGCACAGACAAGCAGCTAACTCAATGTCTCCTGACCTCTGGGCCACTGCTGTTGACACGTCTAAAAGTCTCTTCTTTTTTTATTTTTGCCTTGGTTCCTTGCCTTGGACTCCCTCCAGCCGAACTAGAAACCTGTTCCCTGAAAGCTGGGTGAAGGGTACATGGTGACTTTGTACCATTTTTGCAACTTCTTGTGAGTCCGACTCTTTCAAAAGAAAAAGTAATAAAACAAAGCAAAAAACTCACTAAAACTAAAACGGAACTGAACTAAAATAAATAAAATACATTTTAAAGTCCCTCCCCTTGGCTTTCCACCTACCCTTCCTGCAAAGCTCCCCTCTTTCAGAGTCCTCTTCAGCTCAGTTAGAGTAGAAAAAATCAGGTCATTTGTCCAGTTGCTTTGAAAACCCAGTAAAAGCTGCCTTCTTGCCAATTTTTCAACTTTCTCACTAAATCGCTTAGTTGTTAGGTCATCTTTTGTGGACCCAGCTGAATTTCCTAGGAATCAGGCACCAGTGAGTGCTGTCTTTCATGGAATCCACCTGAGATCCCCTGCATCAGGCTTTCTCTAGGACCGCGTCATGGTTGTGAGGTACACAGGAGTGCTAGGATGCAGTCGGGCAAGCAGAGAACCAGAACCAAAAGCCAAACACTAGTTCTAGATGTGGCATCAGAACTAAATTCTATGCTTTAACTTCATTTAGTGGCACCACCTGTGCGGATACTGGGGGACCTACCGTCACCTACCACATTTACCTGCTGGCCTCCGTGAAAATATTGCTGAGTGCGGTTCCATCACTAGGAGGCAACCTGAATTTCCCTGTGATATATATGAAGTAATATAACTCTAAGCCCAGATGAACATGGAAGCCTAAGAAGGGAGTCTGTATAAATTAAGATGGGGCTCAATATATTCTTTCTTTCTGACTTCTAATCACATAAATAATTCCCCCTTGTATGTTCTAGCCACTTCACTAGTAAACAAGGAGAAGGAAGTAGCACTCCTTAGTAGGCATCTGACTTACATAAAATAAGATTACACAATTATTGAAAATTGTGTTAGCACCTTTGAGGGTTGGGAAAAAACAATCAACGACCTTATATCAAGGTTCTAGAGCATGCCAAGAGCTAAGATATAGCCACTCCTCCGGGATTGTACCATCTGGGTACAGTAAAGATCAGTGGCAACTGAGGAAGGTGAAAGTCATGTGGATTCACAGGCCAGAGACACTCCATTGCTAGAGAATCAGAAAAAGCTTTACGATCGTGAATGCACTAGATAGGGGGAACCAAGGCAGAGCTTCAAATGTACTTTTTGTCTCTTTTTTGTAGGCCCATAACAGAAACCTGCTCTCCATAGATTTTGATCACATAACACGCACAGGAAAGATCTATGACGATCATCGGAAATTCACACTTCGAATTCTTTATGACCACACCGGACGACCTGTTCTGTGGTCTCCTGTAAGCAGATATAATGAAGTGAACATCACATATTCCCCTTCGGGGCTGGTGACGTTTATTCAAAGAGGGACATGGAATGAAAAAATGGAATATGACCAGAGTGGAAAAATAATTTCAAGGACTTGGGCTGATGGGAAAATCTGGAGCTATACCTACTTAGAAAAGGTAAGTATATAGAAAAAATAAGCTAGCTCTGAGTTTCTGATTGAGAATATCGAAAGTGGTCCTAATTACCCACGTTGGCACATTGATGAGGACTGGCAAGAGAAAAGTCTGTGTTTTGGGTGTTCTGCTCTGTAGAAGTAACCCCACCAAAATTATATATATGTATATGTGTGTGTGTGTGTGTGTGTGTGTGTGTGTGTGTATATGTGTGTGTGTATATATATATTACATATAGGATATGTATCTCCTATAAGAATAAGCTGTTTTGCAACTGAAAACTTTCCCTAACCCCAAACTCTGCCAGGGATTTCAAATTGAAGTCAGGATAATAGCTTAGCTTTCTCCTCATTTGAGCATATTTGGTCATGCTCTTGAAAAAGTATCTTTATTCTTATGAAAGCTCATACTGAGGAAAATAGGTAGAAAATTATAGAAGTGTGTGTTAATGTATCTCAGCTCTGGAAAAGAGCCTCTTACACAGAGGATAAAGAATTCTAACTGTGTTAGGATAGTCAGTGAAATTTTAGCAGTGTACATTTGAAGACTAATTTTCGCAAGTAATCAATCTGTCGGAGGGAATGGTGGCAATGGGACTCGTTGGTAATAGTCCTTTGTGTGCAGTGAGTGTCCAGTAGCATCTGTAATGGAAGCTCGTGGCCTCTGTTTGGTAGGAACAGACAAGGACTTTAATCCCGCCACCGAAACCATTTGTCAAACATCAGCCCTCACACAGCAAAATACTTTCTGGCCAGATCAGTAGCAGAGGACAATCACAGAAATTGATCTCTATCTGCCATCTCAATTCCTAATGCCCTAAGATAGTGTCTCTTGTTTCCCAAATCTATCCACTCAACTGAATTTATCAGTCCTGAATTAATTTCTGGGAAAATTGAAAAAAGCTTTCTCTTGACCAGTCAAGGGTAATGCATACGAGGTAACCCATAGAAGTCCTTAGAAAAGTTGTAAGAGTTCATAGCTCACAGGGCAAAATTTTGCTATTTGCACCTGACAATGCCAACGTTTTTTTATATACCCCCAAGGTTTAAAACAAAAGCGTGCAGGGGTTGTATGTCATTATAAAAACGATTGTACTGTTCCCCAGAGTCAGTCACTGGGGATAAAGCTGACCCCACTTGGGAGGCGGGATAAATGAGAGAGTCCTCTGCTTTGTTCACCCATGTCCTTTTCTGCTGAAGAAATTGATTAAATCTATAATAGAGATTATAGATTTGGGAACATCTGAATCTTATAAAGGAGGACTTTCATCTTTTGAATTGCAATGACAGGAATGACTGGCAAAATCATATTGCTAATGTCTACAAAGGGCTAGGCCTCTTACAGAATTAACGGAATCCAAATATCTGGTGGTATGTTTACATAAGCAAGGCACATCATGATGGCCTTCATATAAAAAAGATGCCACCGATCACTAGGAATACAGGCTGACTTGCCTTTCCAGGAGTGAGGTGGGTTTGCATTTGCACTGCTTCTTCCATGGGTCCCGCGTGTGGCTGGTGAAATAAGCAGCTCTCTTTAGGGAACCTGCGTGGGTTTAAACTCCTAACCCCAACCATACCCTGGCCGCTGAGCTAATTCCTCTGGACAGTTGCATCTGGCTCTCGGAAGACTTTCCCTTTAGGCTGTCTGTGGAATAACAAAAGAGCCTATTGAAAACTTACATCGCAGCCCTGCATGCAGTATTAGCCTCTGAAGCCATTTTATTGTTTCTCTTTTCTGAATTAGCTGATTATTTCATCAAACTCCCTTGAGTGAAGAATCATGTGAAGCAAACTTCCCATCACTTCTCTTTGCTACAGAAACTTAGTTGGCAATAATTCTTTCAAAACAAAACAAACTCTGTGAGACTGTCAGTGTCTGCAGTGGACAGAAATAAGATCTTACTGACGCAGAATAATGTATGAAGAAAGCCCCAGTGCCTTCCAAAGACTAGTTTCCTGACCAGTGAGACAAGCCAAATCACTGCCTTTTAGTTGATTTTTTCCTTTCCTGATTTCATATTTAATTTGTCCTCTAATTAAAAGGTAGCCCCTGACTTAAGCAATCCTATTATGCAAAGCTCAAAACCTACAAAACACATTTCCTTACTTTCTACAAATCATTTATCATGACACTGATTTTATTAACATTGTTATTACCAGTGATAATAACTAATTCACTGAATAGATGTGGTGATCAAATGAAATAATTTAATATAAAGCACCCAGCACATCTTATCATTCAATAAAGGTTAGTGTCTTTCTATTTGAATACTGCATTATAGTATTTATTTTCAAGTAGAGAACTTAAATGCTAGCACTTATTGCTACTTGAAGGTAAATTAACAGAGGAAAGAGGGAAGGAAGGAAGGAAGGAAGGAAGGAAGGAAGGAAGGAAATTAAAGCATCATTGAAAATGTGGTTCTAGAAAAAAAGGGACAGAATATTGAATTTATAAAATCCGATTTACATGTAACTTTTTCAGTGAGGTGATGAGGTTCTGTGTCTTCCTATGCTCATTTCAGTCCTCTCTTGAACATGGCCTTTGCTTGCACGTTTTTTCACTATACCTGGGGCAGAGCAAGGACAAAGAGGCTGGCTCTTGTACTATATTTTAAAGTACGAATTCTCAAACTTTAAAATGTATATTTCTTTTTATACCTCAAAATACTTCTGGTATTACCTCTGTAAATTTGCTTGCCATCCCTGTACCATTGATATATGAAACAGCAACAGCAGATATTTCACCTCAATGTGCAGAAATTTTGTAAAAATTATTTGACTTCCCCTGGAGTAACTGAAAGTTACACGGATCATTTTTATGTACAATGGTTTGTAGCCATTAGGAGAAAAATAATTATTTGGGTAATAGCTGAAGTTGCTTAAATAATCTCTTCTCTATTAAAAAATCAATTATTGTTTCTTAAATTTTCTCTGTGTGGCCATTAATTCTCTATCTTGATTTATGAGACTCCTCTGAGTTAATTATATTTTGAAGACTCGTGGAGCTAAATTTTTGTATTAGAGTAAATGTAAATCTTTCAGTTTCCTGAAATCATTCTTAAGAACTTCATTTTTAAGATGCATTTACATATATTTTATAATCATTTAATAAGATGCTTTAGCCTGATACATTTACACAAAATTGTCTCTTCGGGGCTGAAATTTTCAAAGGCAGCCTGGAGGGACAGAATGCGGCCTGCGGCCGGAGTTTTCAGGTGGCGCCACACTGCCATCTGGTGGTCGTTCTAATGCTTTAACTTCTCAGATTCCTACCATCTCATTTCTCTTCTTGTTCAAACGCGTACAGAGGCATGGTTGTTCTTTTCCTCTTCTTCTTTACAATGACCTCTTTTAGGACCTCACAGTCAACTTACGAAATAAAAAGTCTCCCACTCTATTGTTTGGACTAATAAGCAATGGCCTTCTATCCTGTAGCAGCACGCTGGGCGCTGGCTGGCCCCATAAAGATTGCTTTTGAACAAACTGATAATAACGCCCACCCAAAGTGAAAAAGCGGCCAAGTGAGAGCTCAGTGGTATTCTGGCAACACAACGGTTACATTCACGACATTTCTGATCACGTCATCCGCATTCTTGCCATTGGCAGGGAGCTTTAAAATAGGCCAGGGAGTTTTGGAGGCGGCACAGCACTGGCGTCCCTAGGAACAGGGTCAGGCGGTGGCTGGCTGCGGGGTGGAAGATGCAGACAGGGGAGAGGGCACGGCAGTGAGGTGCTGCCAGTTTGGCAAGGCTGGCACAGTGACTGCAAAAGGCACGGCCCCTGGCAGGCTGGTGCTAGGTAACGTGTGGAGGCCATATGGTGATTGTCCCTGGCCTGCGTCACAGGTGACAGATGTTATTTGTTTCTGGCCAGTTGACAGAAGAGAGTGAAAATGAACTGGGAAATCTGACTTTCAGCATAAAGGTAACGTAAAGGTGTTGCTTGGTCAAGGAAGTGGTTGTCCCTTTGTGTCCTCATGACCACGCAGGACTGTCAGGTCTCCTGCCCTCTGTTCAGTAGGGTTTTGGGAACTGTGGGTTGTCCACAGGTGATGAGGTGACAGAGTTTCTACCCGCAGCTCTGGTGGAACAGAAAGAAAGGGTGAGCAAATGAGCAAATAAATGCTGACTTGGACTTCACAGTACTGACATGCGATTCAAAATCAATAATTCAGTTCCCAAGATTTAAATGGACATTATGTGCGTTTCTGTCATTCATATCCATAAATATTCATGGAATTTATATTTAGAAGATGAAAAGGTACCTATTGTTTTCATAACAGAAACTTCAGAAAATAAAGCTCTTAGAACTAAGTCTTTTTGCTTGATAAGGGAATTCTCCAGAAGAGAGGGGTAGAGCTTCCTTGGGGAGTTACGTCAGAATTCCCCAGGGTGAGCAATTTTTATTTTTCTTAAAAGATGAGATTTAAATGCTTTTCCATTAGAAATAGGGTTGGCTCCTCCCTAAAACAGTGCTCCTTTTATATCTAGATTCAATATTAAAATAAGATAAGCCAATATCATTGAAAGACCTAATACATGCTACACATTACATACATCGCAACAAATAACTGTTCCTGAAATACAGACCAGGTTGGGGAGAGGATAGTCCACATTTAATGGCATGTTCCCCTAATATAGTTTAAAACATGAATTGCAAAACAACACTGCAACTTTTCACGAAGACATCTAGTCTATGAAGTCAATCAATACCATTTGGTGACTATAACTTAATACGTGGCAAAGCCTTCCCTCCATTTACCTCCTTTCAATCCATCTCCAAATTGAAACTACAGTAACCTTTCGGGAATCCGAACTTGACTGTTTCTCCCAGCTGTGCACATGTCCTGTCCTTCAACTTGCTTTCAGTGGTTCCCTGCTGCCAACATGTTTCAGTCCAAACTCCTCAGCGTGGCTTAGCAAGCCCAGCATGGTCTACAGCCAGCCTATCTAAATGACCTCATCCTTTGCCATTCACCACCACCTCCACCCCAACATACCCATGCTCCGGCCACACAAAATTCCTCCTTTTTTCTGAAAAAGCCATGTTTTCTCTTTTATCCAGACCCTCACAATGCTGTCCCCCTGTCAAGACTGCTCTCTCCCTACCCCGCTCCGCCTGCCTCTCTGCCTTTACCTGGCCAACCCCTAGCCATCCTTTAGGCCTCAACCCAGATGTCCCTTTTCTCCAGGAAGCTTTCCCTGACCTCTTAATTCTGGGTTGGCTGCTCTTCCTCTGCCTTCAGAAAGCACCCTGAACCTCCCCTGTCATTGCACATTTCACACTGTGTTGAATAGCTTGGCTACTTGTCTCTCTCCTGTATTAAACTATAAGTTCTATGAGCATAGACATCATTACTGACCATTGTTGTATCAACTAGGGCCCACCACAGTGCCTAACACATAGTAGGTGCCTGATAAATTTGTGTTGAATGGCTAAATATGTATTTTCTTTCATCTCAACTTCAGTGGTACATATTATGCTACCTGGCCTTTGTCTCGTTCCAGTCGGTGATGCTGCTCTTGCACAGCCAGCGGCGCTACATCTTTGAATATGACCAATCGGATTGCCTGCTCTCAGTCACCATGCCCAGCATGGTGCGCCACAGCTTACAAACGATGCTTTCGGTGGGCTACTACCGGAACATCTACACCCCACCGGACAGCAGCACGTCTTTCATCCAAGACTATAGTCGAGATGGCCGACTGCTACAGACCCTGCACCTGGGGACAGGGCGCAGAGTTTTATACAAGTACACCAAGCAAGCAAGGCTGTCTGAGATTCTCTATGACACCACTCAGGTCACATTGACATATGAAGAATCTTCTGGAGTGATTAAGACCATACACCTGATGCACGATGGCTTCATTTGCACAATCAGATACAGGCAAACAGGTTTGTAACAAACTGTAACTTATCAAAGTTTCTTCTCTTTAGAACTCAAAATATATTATAAGCTACATGAAAGCTGATTCCTTAAAAACATGCAGGGTATTTCTCTTTTCCTCTCTCACTTCTCAAGAGAGCTGAGATCTAAGCGCCTAGTCTAACTGTGTACCCGGTCCTAGTTACCACCAGATCTTCCCGAAGATGTAGCTGCAAGATGCGAGTCTCACTGAAGCTAGCTCCCGCCCTGTGTAACCTCTATAAGCCGCAGTTGATGGCAAATTATCTTCAGAAGTCAAAATTTTTTATTTTTATTTCATCCCTGGAGTTTCTAAAACGCCCCAATCCAGTTCCCTGAGTGCTGGATTTTTGTCAAAACCTGACCCTCTGACTTTGGAACCCAGGTTAATGAATTGCAAGTATTTTCGTCAGTGATTAGAAAAAGAAAGCATGTTTGTATCTCAGCCAGTGAATGGGTTATTACTTCTAGGCTTCCCATAATTCAATTATTCTGTAACTGTAATATACAGTCTTTTAATTTTTTTTTTCAAATTTGGTCACCACCGTATGAGAATATAGACTATAAAATGGTATGCCCAGACAGTAGATATCAGAGGTTAATCTCTTATATTTTATTTTGAAAGGAAAAGCATTAATACAAAAGAAAAGAACACTACACTTTCTGATTGCTCAACATTAAGCACCTAGCCCTGTTCTCATTATGTTGATGTTGATTCCTCCAGGACCTCTTATTGGACGCCAGATTTTCCGATTCAGTGAAGAAGGCCTTGTGAATGCTCGGTTTGACTACAGCTACAACAACTTCCGCGTCACCAGCATGCAGGCTGTGATCAATGAAACCCCTTTGCCCATAGACCTGTACCGATATGTTGATGTCTCCGGTAGAACAGAGCAGTTTGGAAAATTCAGTGTCATTAATTACGACTTAAATCAGGTCATAACTACTACAGTGATGAAGCACACCAAGATCTTCAGTGCCAATGGACAAGTGATTGAAGTCCAATATGAAATCCTAAAGGCAATCGCCTACTGGATGACCATTCAGTATGATAATATGGGCCGTATGGTAATATGCGATATAAGAGTAGGAGTAGATGCCAATATAACAAGATACTTCTACGAATATGATGCTGATGGGCAACTTCAAACTGTTTCTGTAAATGATAGAACCCAGTGGCGTTATAGTTATGATCTGAATGGCAACATCAACCTTTTAAGCCATGGGAATAGTGCTCGTCTGACTCCTCTCCGATATGACCTCCGCGATCGCATCACCAGACTAGGAGAAATTCAGTATAAAATGGATGAAGATGGCTTTCTGAGGCAGAGGGGAAATGACATCTTTGAATATAATTCTAATGGTCTGCTGCAGAAAGCCTACAATAGGGCTTCTGGCTGGAGTGTGCACTATTACTATGATGGGCTTGGGCGACGTGTTGCCAGTAAGTCCAGCCTAGGGCAGCACCTCCAGTTCTTCTATGCAGACCTTGCCAACCCCATAAGAGTTACTCATCTGTACAACCACACGAGCTCAGAGATTACATCCCTGTATTATGATCTCCAGGGTCACCTGATTGCCATGGAGCTAAGCAGTGGGGAAGAATATTATGTAGCCTGTGATAACACAGGCACTCCACTGGCTGTGTTCAGCAGTCGAGGTCAGGTGATAAAAGAGATGTTGTACACGCCCTATGGAGATATCTATCATGACACTTACCCAGACTTTCAGGTCATCATTGGTTTTCACGGAGGACTCTATGATTTCCTTACTAAATTAGTGCACCTGGGGCAAAGGGATTATGATGTTGTTGCCGGTAGATGGACTACGCCTAATCATCACATATGGAAACAGCTGAACCTCCTTCCTAAGCCATTCAACCTCTACTCCTTTGAAAATAACTACCCAGTTGGCAAAATTCAAGATGTTGCAAAGTATACCACAGGTATTTAAACAGTGTTAAAACTTGACACTAAAGTAAAAAGATAACTCAGTGCTGTTTATCACATAATCTCAATGCCTTTGTAAATATGCTTCCTCTTCCTGCCAGTTAGCCCACAAGTTATTGTGCAGTCACTCTCTTCCTTAGTCTTCTAGAGTGAGCAACACTGTTTATAAAACTCGATGCTTTTGCATCCAAGTATGTGTTTTCTTCCCTTTTAAGCTTTCTGTTTATAGTTTTCACTCTTAAAAACTTATACTGTTAATTTTATAAAAGAAAAATTCGGGATCTGTTGTAGCAAATAAATCTAACACCACAATTTTTGTGGCCTTAATACCACAACTATGTTCAGAATTTCAGTACAAAAAGAAGGGGGAGGGGCAAGTCTGGCTGTGTAGCTCAGCTGGTTGGAGCATCGTCCCGATCCCCAATCAGGGCACATACAAGAATCAACCAACGAATGCATAAACAAGTGGAACAACAAATCCATGTTTCTTTCTCCCCCTCCCCCTTCCTCTCTCTTTAAAATCAAGAAATAATTCTTTTTAAAAATGTATCTTTATTGATTTCAGAGAGAGGAAGGGAGAGAGAGAGAGAAACATCAATGATGAGAATCATTGATCGGCTGCCTCCTGCAAGCCCCCGACTGGGGATCGAGCCTGCAACCCGGTCAGGTGCCCTGACCGGGAATCAAACCTGGATCTCCTGGATCCTAGGTCAATGATCAACCGCTGAGCCATGCCAGCCGGGCAAGAGATAATTTTTTTAAAAAAGAATTTCAGTGCAGTAAAATGAGCCTATCTCTGTAGAGAGAGGATCGCCTATTTTGGAGTAGGTGCTATAAGGGGGAGTTGTATTCCTAACTTCCTGTTGGCTAAACATATTGAAGGCAGGAGAAGCATCTTTAAAGCTTTCCACAAAGGTTGTAAGGTAAGGGCTTGAAAATGTCTTCCCTTTCATTTTGTGTCTCACAGACATTGGAACTTGGTTGGAGCTGTTTGGTTTCCAGTTACACAATGTACTACCTGGATTTCCCAAACCAGAGTTAGAAAATATGGAATTAACTTATGAGCTTCTACAGCTTCAGACAAAAACTCAAGAGTGGGATCCTGGAAAGGTTAGTAGAAGTTTTACCATCTCTACTTAGCTGAAAAAACAAGAGAGCATCCAACACCATGAAATGGTGTTAGTGTATATTTGCTTAGTTATTTTTTAGTTGTCTTCAATATTCACTAAAATGCCCATGATTAAGGACGAGGTAGAAAAAAAGCTTTCATGACAAAAGGATCAAGGGATTGGAGCTTTTGGGAAAGAAAAGACCAACATGTGACTTGATGACCGCTGGGATAGGCAAACAAGGGGAAAGAGTAACTGAATTTCTGAAATTCTGAAATGGGCTACCAAGGGCAATTATGGATTCTGTATAGAGGAAATTGTTCATTAAAACACATGAGAACATCAGATTTCCAACTGCAAAATAATCTAGGGCATAGTGCATGAAGAACATGGAAATAACAGAATTGAATTATTGGATAAAGAAATAGATATATATGTAAGCAATGAAGCAAAAATAATAAATATCAGAGTGATAAAGTCTATAAAAATAAGAATACCAAAACCGTCAAGCTTTAGCAGATGGTATCGTCAGGAGTATGAGGTACAAATGAAAATAAGAAGGAACTTTCTCTTTCAATTGACAGAGATAAGATTTCTGTGTTGGCAAAAACTGGCTTTAACAAAATAAAACTGAAATTTGGGTGAGAGGGCTTGAAATACATGTAAAAAATTATAAGGGAAAGGAAATTCTAAATAGGTTCTATAGGCTTTTCCCTGTCTGTAAATACATATAATATGTAGATGTTTTTCGTAATTAAAAGTCCTAAAGAAGTTTAGCAAAATGTTGAAAAGGGCTGAAGCTTTCTAATGGGTACTTAGAGGTTCCTTATTCTCATCGCTCTGTTTCTCAGCACGTTTGAAAATTTCCATAATAAAAAGGGTTTTTATTTTAAGTCCACATAAAAAGGTCAGCGAGCTTCTTGCTGGTTTGCTGTTGTTATTTATAAGGTCATAGCTGCTTGAAAACAAGAATGACGCCCCCTGCATCTCTTTACACCTTCTCGTGCCTAACGTTACTCTAAACACAGTCATAACAGCGAGTGGGTTTTAGTTAAATTGGCAAAAATGAAATGTCCTTGTTTTGGGGGGAGCTGGACCCACTTAATTTAAAGCGCTTTCTAGCTCTGAATTTCTGTTTCTGAATTTCTGAATTCCTTATGTTTAACTCACCAAGATACCAAGAAATGTGTGCCAAGTAATCCTATCACCTGTTAGTCTTTTCTTTCCAACTCTCTGATGAAGAGATTCCAAACTGGGCCTGTTTCTAAATCGCAAACCAGCAGAAGTGCATGCCTTTGCTTTGCACGGTCACCGACCGTGTGGCAGGTGTCTAATCCTGGGCCACATTTGCCCTGTGCCTTTCTTCTTTCCCAGACTCTCTTGGGCATCCAGTGTGAACTCCAGAAACAGCTCAGGAATTTCATTTCCTTGGACCAGCTCCCCATGACCCCCCGATACAGTGACGGACGGTGCCTCGAAGGAGGGAAGCAACCGAGGTTTGCGGCTGTTCCTTCTGTCTTCGGAAAAGGTATAAAATTCGCCATCAAGGATGGCATCGTCACAGCCGATATCATAGGAGTCGCCAATGAAGACAGCAGGCGCCTCGCTGCCATTCTCAACAACGCTCATTACCTGGAAAACCTGCACTTTACCATAGACGGGAGGGACACTCACTACTTCATTAAGCTGGGGTCCCTGGAGGAAGACCTGGTGCTCATCGGCAACACTGGCGGGAGGCGGATTCTAGAGAACGGTGTCAACGTCACTGTGTCCCAGATGACGTCGGTGCTGAATGGCAGGACTAGACGGTTTGCGGACATCCAGCTCCAGCACGGGGCCCTGTGTTTCAACATCCGCTATGGGACAACCGTCGAAGAGGAGAAGAATCATGTGCTGGAGATCGCCAGGCAGCGCGCCGTGGCCCAGGCCTGGACTAAGGAGCAGAGGCGGCTGCAAGAAGGGGAAGAGGGCATCCGGGCGTGGACGGAGGGGGAGAAGCAGCAGCTGCTGGGCACTGGGCGCGTCCAAGGCTACGATGGGTATTTTGTTTTGTCTGTTGAGCAGTATCTCGAACTTTCTGACAGTGCCAACAACATTCACTTTATGAGACAGAGCGAAATAGGCAGGAGGTAACAAACAAAATCTCTGCCTTTGCGTCACCAAAGACTGCCTGTTTTTAAAACACAAAACGGTTTATTGTATTGGTTTTCTAGATCAGGACTCTGTATATGTAAATATGGAGGAAAAACATATCCAACTGCCTTTCAATGTGACGGAAGATGGTATTTTAATATTGTTTGTTTAAACTCTTTGAGAAATGACAGATTTTTTCTTTTTTTCCGATTTTTTTTTTTTTTTTTTTTTTTTAGTTCTCGTGTGGCAGTATTCAAAAAGAAACACAAGTAGAACTCAAACAGCTCAAAGCAAAACGTTTTCAGAAAGCACCACTTTCAATTCGTCGAGCCATGCGCATGTGTGCATTCAGATAGACAGAAAGAACCCAGGGTTCTCTCTATGTGTCTATTGCGACACCAAGGTTCAGGCTTAGCTGTTGGCAGAAAAGGTGGTGCAGTTGTATCTGAGCCTTGCACTGCGAAAGACTGCCGGCCCTTTCGCCTTCCCAGATCCGCTACAGGAAACTCCTAAAAGGCGTGTAAAATGCGCTGGGCCGCAATCTCCTGGAGGCGAGAACCATAGGCCCTTCCTCCCTGGTTATTCCTTCTTGCTTGTTCAAGTAAATGCGATGTTGTCGTGCTGTGTTTTGGCGTGTGGTGGCTGGATTCGCCCTACCATGCTTCCCCGTGGGTGTGGGACCCGGAGTGAATTGTCACTATTTCCTTGTGTGTACGTGATACCAAGGCAGCTGGCCCGTGTAACTTCTCCCGCGCCACCCGTTTGGCTCTATTTTGTTTTACTAAATTGTCCAGCTATATTGGCATCATGTGGACATAGCTTTTCTTAACCTGGGTAGGAATTTCTCGTTTATGTATAGGGTGTGTTTTGCTCATAGCTTCACATTAGCGATTCAGTATTTGTACACTAATCCAATGGTTTTGCGCACACGAAAGGTGATTTACTACAAAGTATGATTCTGGTACCAAAAAAAAAAGAGAGGCTTTAGCACGCATACGTGCCTGGGATGTCAATCAATTACATTCACTACTACTGCAGACATTCTTAAGAGCCGAAACCTTTAAAAACTAGACGGAGTACTAAGGTTGAAAGGAAAGTACCAAAGGGGAGACCGAACTAAACATCATAGTAGTTGCTCTACGTTGGTTCCGCTCAGATTTATCTTTCAAATGTACAATTCTATATTGAACATCTCCCAGCCATAGCCAGGAAATTTAATTAAGCGTACCCTTTCCAACCTAAAACATTTCAACTAATTAGAGAGAGGCAGGCTATTTTTTATCAAGATAATTTTTATTCTTAGTTATTTTAGTTCTCTGTGTTTGCCCATTCATTTGATTTCATCATGTCTCCTGCCTAGGAAAATGACTATTTTCCAGGAAGGGTGATTTTGTTCTGGAATCATTTAAAATTTGGAAAAAGATCAGGATTAGTGTTAATATCAACTGCGGTTTCCCAATCTCTATGCATCCTGTAGTAAAAGAAGGCCCTTGGTGAGCTGGGAGATGTGTGCCCAGTGACAAAGAGACAGCTTGTAAAATGCTGTGTAATTGGAAGTTACCATGAAGGAAAATTCATGACAAGTAGAAAATCCCCCCAAGCCAGCTTCAGCACTTTCATTCCCAAGTCTGGACATTTACTGTGTCTGAAGGAGAATTTATGACGGGATGTTACAGTTTGAATTCTTTCCAGCTGCTACCTAAATGCAGTGTGAGGGTCATTGCCTTGCTTTGTGACGACAGTGTCTCTCAAAAGATGCAAAGTCAGAATCCAGGCTCAGGCCAAGGTTTTGAAAGAGTCTGGCTCCTCACTACCCAATGTAGAGTGAGGGAAAGACAAGGACCCACAGATAGTACAGGAGGGTGTATCCAAACATTTCATTTTCATGACCCTCAGGTTGGCATTACCAATTCGTACACATGCATTGAAAGACAGAGAGAAAGGATTCATGATGGACTCATCTCTTTTTCATTGGAAGCACACCAATTTAAGAGATTACTAACCCAGACTACAATCATATTATTGTTTTTTCCCCTGAATCAGGCCTGTGTTAATGGCACAGTATTTATTCAGGATGGGATTCTAAAATGACTCACAAACTTGTTGAAAATTTGAATACCTCCACACCAGCCTAAAAATGGACCTTAAGTTCCTAGAACCTCTGATGTTCTTTTAAATTCATGGAAAAATAATTTGTGACCTGTATATAGAGAGTGCATTCATAAGTGTGATGATGTATTTTATCGTTAATTCAAGATGTCGATATTAGAGTCTATTTTGCTTATATTTTAAGTGGTTATACTTTTTTGCGATTCACTGGTGGTGTATCGTTTTCAAACTGCTTTAAATATCCATTAGAAACAAATATTTGAAGCTTTTCCTTAATAGTAATTACCTTGAACTGTGCATTTCTAGTTTGTAATACATATTTATTTAGTTTGTGCCTTTAGTTTCTTAAAGTTGTATTTGTATTATATTCAGGAAATGCACTTTTTATCACTTACAGCTGTGGTTTTAATACTGCCTTGAACTATTCTTGTTCTCTTTACCACTTCCAATGGTTTTGGGAGGAAAGAGAAAAACCCCAAAAGGTTCACACTAATGAGTAGTACATGGAAGAGAAACATTTTGGCATTTTCTTAATAAGAACATGGGGATACTGAGTACGTTGCTTCCAATTTTGGCTAAATACGAAGAATGCCTTCAGTGACTTGTAGCTCTGAAGTTCAAATTAATGACAGGACAATTCGTTTGCATTTCCTGCTGAAAGTAAAAGCATTTTAAAGAGAAGTAGTGGGTATCTCATACCCAACAGACAAGTGGCTGGCACCGCACAACCACAGCCCATGCAAGTAAGAAAGAGTGGGAGCACAGAAGGTGGGCTCTCCTCTGAAGAACACTCGGGCTGGGCATGGGGAATACTCTGTGGTGGCATTCCCTGTGGTTTTCCCTAGTTAGGTCCATTTTCTTCGTGCTTTTCGTTTGTTTGTTTGTTTTCACTCTTGCACTACAGTCTAGAGATCCAAATGAACTGAAAAGTTCACAGTTTAACAGACATTTAAATATCTCTTTTTAGTTGTCATTCTAATCATTACTGATTAGAAGCATGACTCCTGAAAGAAAGGGAAATGAAGCCCAATTTTTAGCAAACCACTCGCCATATAAATAGGCATATGTTTTATTTTTTAACCCAGCAAAATAATGTATAAAGTAAGCGTGTCCTTTACCGTCAATTTATCTAGAAGATCTATAATATATAGACTATATATATAATATAATATAATATATACAACATAGCCAAATGTATGAAAACTTGACAATGTATAATTTGGAATTCATGTCCTAACTACATAGAGAGGTTTAAAATTAAATTATAATTTCCATAAGATTTTTCTTTTTCATCACTGTTGGCACAGTTTCAAGCATTCTACCATGTTATTTCTACTTTTTTCTTCTTCTTTTAAAAGAAATATATTTTTAACCAGACCAGGCCCCACTGTAATACCACCTGAGAGAGTCAGGGCAAAATTTTTGCGTTTATGAAGATATGTTCCTCTAAGGGCAAGTGTAGTGGCGTTCAGTGGTAATGGAAGCAGAAGTACAGTAATCAAGTACTGAAAGAAACTTGGAGAGATTGGAGTGTATTCTAGCTTGTGGAAAACAGAAGGCTGCAGAACATTCTTGTTTTCTTGGAGAAACTCACATACACATAGCTGACCTGACTAGTGCTAGATCTCAGACTGCTCTTCCACAGCCTTCTGTAAGGTTCTTTATTCTGCGAAAAAAATACAAAACCAAAAAAAAAATCACAAAAAAAAACACAAAAAAGCAAAACAAAAAAACCCAGAAAACAACAAACAGCAACAAAAAAGAACTCAACCACAAAATAGTGACTGTTATGTCAGTGTGTCCTTCATGTGAAAGCTATTAAGGACCAAATATACTACTGTGTGTAAGAAGAAAATACTTCCTAAACAGTAAGTGAAAATAGTTAGAGTTAAACTTGCTGTGGATTTTGTCTTGGCAGTTGTCATCTTACATTATTTGTCAAAGGAAATGTGTTTGGCAGTTAAAATCTTTCCTTAGATTTAGTGGTGGACTTTAACCTCTTAAATAAATGTTAGTATATCAGATTGTGTCCTTGGAAAATATTTTACTTGTATGAATCATGACAATGTCTAAATCTTTACTCTTCTTCTGGCAAAAGCATCAGTAAGAGAAAAGGTGAAAAAGAGAAGTATAGCCTTTACGTCAGAAAAATATTCTTTTTAGCTGCTTACTTTCTCATGAGAAGTAAAGATGTTTACAGTGTATGCCAAGATTTTCAGTTTCTATATAACAGCAGTTAGAGGTTCTAATCATACTGAAAATTGTGTTATAATGGCCTGAGCCATGTTGCTAGGAAACAATAGGTTCCAATTTTGTATTCCTGCTCTCACTCCTGTGCTGAAAAGTGACTGGATACTGTACAGGTTCATGTTCTCTGGCTGCAGTTAAATGGTCTTTTGCATTTTGCTCTGGTTTTCAGGCCAGAAGCATGCATTTTTCTACAAGAGCATCACAACAACATGCTGTAAATATTTCAAGTTCAACATTATGTGTCGATATTTGAAAGAAAAAAGTACTTTGAATATTTCATTTTTAAAAAATAAAATTGCAAATGAATGCTGTGTCCCATTTTATTCATGCGCCAAACGGCCTTCTCCCGTCGGTCCGGTCACCCAAGATATGAAAAGTGGAACAATAAACCTGCATTATCTTGAAAACGTAGGTGCAGAAATAAAAAAGGCACTAATCCTAAGCAGGCATCTCTTCATTTTTATTTTTCATACAAATAGAATCTCTGACACAAATGACCATTTAATAAAAAAAAAAGAATAGGAGCTGTTGAAAGTTTAAATGCCTCTAGGCTGTGACTTATAAAAAGGTTTCTCTCCTGTTGATGAATCAAGGATTGTAAGATGGGGGTGGGGGACAGTTAGGAGAGCAGGGCACCCAAATACACTGGCAAAAAAATGAATGGCAGGGAGAGGCAATCAGGAAAGACAAAAACGACAGCTCTTCTGAGGCCCTAGGCCCTGGGCAATTACAGTGGCCATTTGGCCCTTAACTTTTCGCAGGAAGACGTTTTCAAGTGACACTGGGAAAGCTGGCCGACAGATCTTCCAAAATGCAACTTGATAATAATGGGGCACTACAGTCCAAACAGCCTATTCCTGAAACTGGCTTGGAATCCTGGAATTTACAGCACTCTAAAATACCCTGCTGCCGTTCATTCACTGATACATACTCAGATACAGTGAAAAGATTTGCGAAGCAAAAGACAAGCCCGATTGTCTCAACCCATCAGCAGAATGCAACACGGGCCCTGGCCTGTTTGGTTCAGTGGTTAGAGCACCAGCCTGCGGACAGAAGGGTCTCAGGTTCGATTCCAGGTCAAAGGCACGGACCTTGGTTGCACATTTGCTCCCCAATGGTGCGGGGGGCAACCAATTGATGTGCCTCTCACGTCGATGTTTGTCTCTCTCCTTTCCACTCTCTCTAAAAATCAACGTAAACAATTTCCTCAGGTGAGGATAAAAAAAAAAATGCAACACGGGGTGCAGGTGGGGGTAGATATCAGTATCACCTGGAGATTTCTTTTTTCCAAATACGCATCCCACCCTCAGAGTACAAAAAGAGGCAGGCACTCCTACACTGAGAGAATTGTTAGAGCGTTAAGAGATTTCTCCATATTACTGCCCCATTCACTCTCACTTTGAGAGATCTTTGAATATCAATGTTATTTAATAGTAATAGTACTACCTTAAATTTCAATAATTCTAGCACCTCAATAATCCTGTAAGGTAAGCAAGATTTAATTGTTCCTACCTGGCAGATGCAATGATAGCAACAGACTGACCGACTTAAGGTAAATCTGAAAAGAAAATTCAAGTCTCATCTGTTTTGTTGATGGGCTCTCCCCAGTCGATCACACTTGCTATATCTTTCTACATAAAAATATTCATCTTAAAAGTCAAATGACCTAATGATGAAAATTCAGCCTTCTACTACAAGTTTGGCCAATGATCCTAAATTATAAAAGTGTCTAAACCGGGTTGTTTAACTTCACCCCTAGCTGCAAACTGCGAAATAATGGTATCCATTTACTGCAAGGGCAAATATAGGCAACAAAGTTGAATTTATAGTCCACTAACAGGAAGATTAGGCATCTTGTAACCTTGAAACGCTCAAGGGCAAATATGGGTTTTATTATTAATAGACTCTGGAGTCTGAACTCAATGAAGTGGATCTAATAAAACATAAGCTGATGTCTAAACATTTTTAACAGATTTTAAAGCTTTCTCTCACACTTTAAATTCTCTATCCACTCTACCACAAATATCTTAAATCCAGCCCTCTATTTATACTAGAACACCTACTCAGAGGCATTCTCTGTAGATTCTCTCTACCTATGTGCTGCTATCACCAAGGTTCCCTGCCTGTAACAGCCCAACTGACAATTACTTAAGCTGGTCTCCCTACTGACCTTATCTCTTAAGAACAAATTTCAGAGGAAACGAACGAGTATTTGATCAACTGTCATGTTCCCTGTGGGCTTGCTGACACACTTTTTTTTTTTTTTTTTTTTTGAAGAGAGGTGTGCACTTGGAAATATATGAGCATTTTTCTATCTTGACTCAGCATCTTAAAGGTATGTGTTAGCATGGCAATATTTTAGATATGGCAAGGATATGACCTTTCTGTAAAGGTGCAAGCTATTATGTGCCGGGAAATAGGACGGATGCTCATGCTGGGAAAGAAAAAGTAAAAAGAACTTGATGAATAAAAGGCCTGCAAAAGAAGGCAGTGGGTAAGCACATCAACTGGAAGGTCTGACAGTAGCAAAATCAGGAAAGCACCTTTTTCAGGGACTCTGTCCAATAAGATAAGTAAGATGACCTACATCGATGCTTTATTTAATCAATGAATAGCACCGATCTCTGAATATTTTTTAAAGGAATATTGTAAGACAAATTAGGTAAATAAAGCTTTCAAATACTTTATTAAAACATGAAAGACCATTAATGATTCAAAAAAGTTTTACCAAAAAAGGCTCTGATAAAGGAACAGGCCCACATAATTCATATAGTTAGGATTATTCCAAAATGAACAGATTAGAGTAAAAATAGTTACACCTATTAAAATGTAAACCCAAGCTACAAACTGTTAAAGAATAGCTAAACATATGCGTTTTATTTTGAAAGTCAGCTTTCTGAATTCCTTTACAAGTTAAGAGTGATGCTTTTACTTCTAGAAATGGTAAATGGCCCACAGTACATTATTGCACGTCCATAGCATCCACAGAAAATGCTCAGAAATCAGATCTTGCCCCCACATGGGGAGTAGGGCTGTCTCCTGGCAGTTCACTAATTATTAGCCAAGCTCACCACCATCCACACACAACCCAGAATTCCAATTTATTAGTTCACAATGAAACTTAGCCTTTTCCCCCAAGCTCTGGACCAGAGCATTTGTGTCGACTCCTTCTGCCTCTAAGGACAGATGTACCAACACGTCAGTGACCTCCTGTCCCATGCACTTACCGCCTTTCATTGTTCTTTTCTTGTTGCTTTCTTGTTACTTTCTTTTGCCTTTTATTGTTACCGTTTCTCGTCCAACTAGACAGTGAGGCGCCTGAGCGCAGGGACCAGGTGAAATTTGACTTCTCTGCCCCAGTGCCTATTGTGTTTGTTGAGTGAACACATTTTCTGAGCCCTGAAGCAGCAGCCTGACATATAATCAAATCACAAGAGTCATGGAAACAGAAAATGTGAGAAGAAAATACAGATCTCCATCACTGCGTAAAACTTTGGCTCTCACTTAGGTTGCAGTCACTCGGAATTGTTCAAAGTTAACGCAACCGTAAGCTCTCCAATGGTCTGTAGGGCTGCCTGAGAGACTGCTCAGAAAGCTGCTCCTCCTGAGCCACCGCCGAGGAGCCGCAGCTGCTGAAGCTTCCCCTTCAAAATGAGGTTTGACTTGGAGCAGCAACAACTGGGGCAGACAGAGGTAAAGGAAAAGAAGTCGAGTCCACTTCATCAGATTCCCAATCCAATCTCCAATCCTGTAGCATCAACTGTAATAAACGTATAGAGCAGGGGTGGCGAACCTTTCTTCTGCCAAGGGCATTTGGATATTTATAACATCACTCAAGGGCCTTACAAAATGATCAGCTTCAAAATTAGCTGTGAAAAAAAACTCCTAGGTTTATTGAATTTCGGTTCCTGCCTGTGGTTGCCTTGGCAGGGCCAGGCCAAATGATTACGGCCCGAGGGCCGGATGTTCCCCACCCCTGAATTTAGAGCATATTTTAAGTGATGGAATTTTTAAACTCCAGATTGGTCTGTGGGTTTTACTCTCCAACATCAGAATACTAGGCAAGAAGGTGGCTTTCAGACTTAAACAGAAATTCTTTATCTAGTACTTGGTTTAGCCCACGGTGGACAGCTTCATGAATCCCCAAAGAGCCTACAACACCATAGCTAGAGCTAGAAGAGAGCAGAATGCCTCATGCAGAACCACACAGGACAAAGCAGAGGGACGCGAACCAGCTGCCTGCCAGGTAATCAAGCAAGACACTGAGAACTCAGTAGCTATCAAATGATATTTCACTAGAAATGGTGCTTTCGAGAAAAACGGAGGATTGTTTTTATTTACATTTGGCAAGAATTAACATTAATCTTTTATAAAGTATCTATCATTACGCTTTAAATTGTTTCCCACTCATACGTAAATACAATAACTGAAAATAACCAGTGGAATTACTTTTTCCCAATCCCCATTTCAAAGCTCCTCGTTATCTGCAGAGTCCATTTCGGCTTTAACATCATGTTAGATGCTTCCATTACAGGACTATAATGGCTTTAGAAATGCATTTGTAGCACGCTGAACTGTATTATCTACAATATATAAGACTTAGCATATATTTAAATTATTGAAAACAAAGTACAAGGCCTTTTCTTTTTCTTCATGGGGCTTTCAGGAAGACATCAGGATCTCTTCTCCCTAAAGAAAATTAATAACAAAAATCAAGAAAAGATAAACTTCTGACTGCATAAAGCTCACAGAGATACTACCCAATGACATAGCTCAAGGAACTAGTATTTAAAACGGAGTTATAAAGAATGGACTGCTGAGCAGAAAAGAACAATTAGTGAATTTGTAAACTGGAGTTCTATTTCCATTTCTATTATAAAAGCCAACTATTCATTGGTTGAATTTGAGTCTAATTGTCAGTTTATGCTTGAGCCCAGGTCCCTGTCAAAAAAAAAAAGGGCTGTAACAACTAATTTTCTTTTATCATAAATATTTATTCTTTCAATCAGGCATATCTTCTTACTCCAAACAAATGATTAACCCCTTTCAATGGAGGAGTGAACAATTACATAGCTGATGGCTGCCAGCGTTGGCTAGCATTTGGTCTTTAGCTTGACACGTGCACTAAAATAGCTTTGCTCAGGAGATGTAACCATTTGCGCCTGTGGGATAACAAAGTCTACTGATTTCATTTCCTTTGCTACAATAAAATTTCACTAATTCAGGCACCACAAATTCAGAAATCAGAATCACATGAGCCAGGTTAACATCAGTTTTTCCCTCCCTGAAGGGGAAATATAGTTTACTAAGCAAAGGTAAAGAACTCCCAGGTAGTCTCTGAGTTGTCCCATCTTGCACCTTATTTGTGTCTGAATTAGTGAAGTGAAATGATACTTATGTATTGACAAAAGAGAATGGGGAGAACAAGATGGAACGAGAGAGGTTAAATGTGGGCTCAGAATTTTTTACATTTTTGCACAATTTTTTTAACTATAAAATTTCTTTTTTATTTTTCAATTACAGTTTACATTTAATATTATTTTGTGTTAGTTTCATTAAAACTTTCTAGTACAGCCCAGCTGGCGTGGCTCAGCGGTTGAGCATGGACCTATGAACCAGGAGATCAGGGTTCAATTCCCGGTCAGGGCACAGGCCCGGGTTGCGGGCTCGATCCCCAGCAGGGGGCGCGCAGGAGGCAGCCCATCAGTGACTCTCATCATGGATGTTTCTCTCTCTCTCCCTCTCCCTTGCTCTCTCTGAAACAATAAAAACATATTTTTAAAAAATAAAAGTTTATAGTACAGCATATTGAAATCAAAGCATAGGAATAGTCCCTTCCCCTTTCACTGACAAAAGTTAAGAGTAGGGTGGGGTTCTGGGAAGAAAAGGGGAAGGGAATTAAGAAGTACAAGGTTCCAGTTATAAAATAAGTTACGGGGATGTAAAAGTACAGCATAGAGAATACAGTCGAAGATATTGGAATAACTATGTATGGTGTCACACGGGTAGTAGACTTCATAAGTTAATAAATGTTGGATCACTATGTCATGCACCTGAAACTAATTTAATATTGTATATCAACTGTAATTAAAATAAAAATTTGAAAAGTTAGCATAAACCATACCTGTGGTACCCTGCGTACTTCTAGCTGAGGACTTCTCAACTGGATACTGCAGAGGTATTATAATACCTTGATCTGGCTTCTGGAACGCTGAAATGAGATTTTTTATTTTCCGGAAAAATCTTTTATGAACCCCAGGTGCTGTCTGGAAAATAAAAAGGCCAAGCAAATTATTCAACTACCCCATCATGACACAAAAAGCCCTACAAACTGTGTGAGGGATGCTTAGAGAGGTAACATTTGTGTAACTTGGTCAAATATTTGAAAACATAAGGAAGGAGGAAAAACAACATCCCAGAAGAGCTTCCTTTGGTTGGCTGAATTTCCCTGCAAGAGGAGCTAATGAGCTGTCATTTCAGTTCTCCCAGGGGTGGGATTAGTTTGTACAAGCTCTTGTTCATTGCCTTGCCCTTCCTGCCTGCTACCCCTCATATATCCTGAACCTCTAAGGGTACACAGGCCATTACCCACAACGAATTCACCAACCTAGAAGATGCAGTTAAACACAGAAAAAACACAGAGCCTACAGGTCATTAATAAAAAGCCTGAAGAACAAGAAACAAACAAAAAAACGCCACCACTTACCCTCCCTGTCATCATCATTCCACAATATAAAATGCCACGAGGAAATTAAAATGGGCTGTTATGATACACACAGTGCATGGCTAGTTGGTCCTTATATGCTCACCTCACAGTATGTCCTGCCTCATCCTTCACATTAAATTTTTGCCTCCTTGGGAAACTTCCGTTTCCTCCCCCAAATTACTCTCTCCATCAACACTTCCCTGTGACAAAGTTTTGTCTATGACATGAAAACGTAAGACTATATAAGGTCACCCTTATTTTTTGTTTGTTTGTTGTTGAAGACATCATTATTTGCAAGTGACTATTAAAATGTATTCCTTTCCTGACATCAATTCTCTTGCAGAGACACAGCTTGAAATCAATAACAATTTCCTGCAAAGCCTTATGAGCCAAGCTTTAGGCATCAGCTCAAAGCTGTCATTTTACATGAAATAAAGCAGTATTGCTATAAGCAATTGAACAATGACTGGGTGGGTTTTTTTGGTGTTTTTTTTTTTAGAAAGCTGTTTTTTCAGCTATTCCATCTGGAAGATTTTTGAGGTGGGAGCTGTTTGTTAGCTTTTAATGAGAAAACATGAGGCCTGGCATGCAGACTTCTGCCAACTAGACTAAAAGCTGAAATAGCACACTGTCCAGAGTAACGCTCAGTCATTTCCTACATCGGGGTAAGTAATTTTTCATTGAAAGCACTGGAAAAGTTCTTTGGAGCTTTGAATTAGCTTCTGCTCATAGGCTCACACAGCCAGCAGCTGACACTTGCACTCAGCTCCATCCCTATGGTAAAAACACCTTCCCAGAACTCCACCGCATCCAAAATTACACGGTCATTCTTACAGGGGATAGAATCTCCACATTGCAAAGGCAGGCGATAGGCCCCAAATGCCTCCTTATATCTTCCTTAGAGCACTTTTTTTTTCATTTTTAAAGCACTTTCCCATCTCTTGTCCCTGCTGGTTCCTCAGAGATTGGCAGTTATTGGCTGATTTGGTTATTCTCATTTGACAGATTTAAAAAATGAAAATACAAAGAGATAATTCAGCTTGCCCAAGGTCCCACTGACGGCCAGAGGCAGAAGTGCCACCAGATCCCAGGACCTCGTCTTTCACCTTTCAGATCAGGACCAAACCAAACAGATCGTAATGAAGTTCGAGTCACCAACCAGAAGAGAAACTAGATACTCCCCCGGTGTGGAAAGATTTCAAACCACACATCTTTTTAGCTGTTCTTGTGGCTTGTAAAACCATTTATCAACTTTTTTATGGGGACTTATATGCAGTTAGCACTTGATTATGCACACTAACAGAAAGGAATAACAGCAGTGGGTGTATAAAAACAATTTGAATTTGGGATGAATGTTTCGTTGGCAAATGGTTGACCTCATTTATAGTGCTTTGCTTAGGTTAATAAGTAAAATTATTTAGCCTCTGCTGATCTACTGATGATCAAATATCCAGAAAAGCCCAAAGGCACTGAAGTCAGCAGGGGGAGGTTAGTACAGTTATTACAATGCACTGCTGGCAGCGCACATATTCATAAAGGATAGGTGACTATGTAGAATTCTCTGAGTTTACAATTTAGCAAAATTTTAGCCTGAGTCACGACAGAAGTTAATACACCAGGCAACAATAAAACCTGCAAGTCTATCTTAAACTAGAAATTCACCTAAATAGCTGTCTTTCACAATTCAGTGGATCCAGGGTTCAATTTTATTCCACTCTTTGAAGCAAACCTCAGACTCATCTAGATTTCTTGCACAACCTTTGCACAGAGGATGGAGTGCTCCTGCCATGGTTTTTCCTGCAGTGTGGATCTAGAGCATTGCTCTGAAAGCAGCGTAGATATCTGGCATTTACCCAATTTTGAAAAGATGTTTACCACAAGAATTGTACTACTGACCACTCCCATCCTGTCACCGAACCCAGCTATTCAAATTTGCACATTTCCCGAACTGTCATCTCTAAGTTATCCGTGGAAACACGTTTTGGACCACAGCTGGTCTTCACTATGCTCTAGAGAAATTTCTTCCAGTCAGCTGATACGAGCTCGGGGAATATACACTAGTTTAATATTCACCTTAGCAAGAACACAATAGAGAAGGCAAACTGAGCAGACAGGGAAAAAATGCAATGTGCATTTCAAAAATAAATCCAAAGAGTTTTTAAAAACTGTTCTCCCTTTGGGAAAGACATGTCAATCTTCTGCTCACTTGGTGCAGAGAATTACAATATTTTTATACAAACAGGGTCAAAACAGACAACAATATGAGACAGTATTTATGCTCAATAAGTCCTCTCTTCCTCAACATGAACACGAGCATGTAACAATCTGCATATGATGTTATACTTGAAATGAAAGAAAACAAGTTTGAAGACAAGGTTAGCTAAACCTAATCATTTAAGATCCAGCAGCTGAAGGCTACTTCTCTAGGGAGAAGAGCTATTGCAGGTCAAATTACATACAAATATAGGGTGTTCCAAAAAATGTATACACACACTTTGAATAATTATAAAGGCAGTATTTATTTTATTATTTTTTTAATCCTCACCTGAAGATATTTACAGAGAGTGGAAGGGAGAGAGAGACAGACAGACAGACACATACACAGACACATCGATTTGCTGCCTCCCAAACATGCCCTGACCAGGGCCGGGGATCGAGCCTGCAACCCAAATACATGCCTTTGGCCAGAATCAAACCTGGGAGCCTTCAGTCCATAGGCTGACGCTCTAACCACTGAGCCAAACCGGCCAGGGCAAAGGCCATGTTTATTATACTACATTTCATTTTCAAAATTGGGCTATCAGCTGTTAAAGTGTGTATACATTTTGGGGGGACACCCTGTATATGTGTAGATACCGTGCACAACTATTCTTCATAATAAATGAAATTTAATGTCTTACTTAATCATCTCCACAGTGATGCAGAGAATTTTGAAAAATAAACAAGTATAAATAGCTTTGATTAGAAATGGCACTGCTTTTCCTCTAATGAATATTGCAATATTAATTATCCTGATATAAAGCAACAGTGTGTTTGAAAAGTTGCCCTAATTCATCTCAGTAATTCAAAACATTTGTAGACTGCAATTTGTGCGTCCTGGTTTACTGAGGAATTTGTAAAAGTTAGAACTGTGTTCACAGTTTTTAAGTGCAAGATTAAGAGTTTCTTAAATGCACAGAATGATTGAGTTATTAATAGAGGCTGATATTAGCATTTATGTTTTCAAACAGCTAACAATGAAATACTCTCATTATAAAGACAGCCTGTTTTAAAGAGTCAGCTAGCCCAGCCGGTGTGGCTCAGCGGTTGAGCGTCGACCTAGGATCCCGGCGATCGGGGTTCGATTCCCGGTCAGGGCACAGGCCCGGGTTGCGGGCTCGATCCCCAGTCGGGGGCGCGCAGGAGGCAGCCGATCAATGACTCTCTCATTATGGATGTTTCTCTCTCTCTCTCCCTTCCTCTCTCTGAAATCAATAAAGATATATTTAAAATAAAAATTTAAAAAAAAATAAAGTCAGCTATCAGAGAAAGCATTTGAGGTCAAAAGTTTCAGTTGTAGAGACCCCTGCATTGGTAATATATGACATACTACCCTCGTGCGTGGAAATAGATTCATTCTACAGACAGTTCTTGCCATGATACAGTGACTTTCAAGTGTTTTCAAAGCCGTCAGAACCCATTTTTCTAATGAAATCTTACTCAGAGCTCTAGTTTAGTTAATAAGCAAAATAAAAGAGAACTGCTCAGATTAAAGACAAACTGCCGAGCCAAAGGCCTACCTGCCTACGTCTTTCTCTGCCTCTGCAACCAACCCCCAGGCAACCCCAAGGCCCCCAGGTAGAAGAACATTAGGATTCTGCAGAGCATAGCTTAAAACCACTGCAATGTCCCCTCTATCTCCATTCCTCCTCTCCATGTCCTTCCCACTTGGCTCAGCTAGGAGTCCTGCCTTCACACATACAGCAGCCCTGGTTACCCTAACACTTGAAAAACTCTCCCTTCTTTGAACTCCTATGGTAAATAAGGTAGCACTTGATTATGTACAATCGTTTTGTTAGCAACTTGAGCGAGGTCACCTTTTTGAGGGCTCTGTTCTAGGTCCTACGGTTAAGAGCTTTCTTTATATGCATTATCTCATTTAATCTTAAACTGAGCCCTGTGAATAAGGGACTATTTTTAGGCTCATTATACAGATGAAGAAACTGCTTGAAAGAAAATTTAAGTAACCTGCCCAAGGTCACAGACCTATAAGGGAGCAGGGGGGACCTGACTGGGAGCCCAGATCCACCTGACAGCAAAGTCCAGGCTCTCACATTGCTGTTTAATTCATGTTGTATCTCCCCAAGGGTATTATAAGCTTTTAGAAAATAATCCCCCATAGAACCAACACTCATATTAGTACCAGTCACTAAATAATTGCTGATTTAATTACTTTACACATTTTTGATATGCTTTCTAAAATTTCACACAGGCACTAAAAGTTTGACACAACCCTTCAACTTTTTTTTTTAATTCTTTTCCCCAAGGTGAGACCACTCCATACAAAGATGGTTAAACAGAACTGGGACCAAAATTCTCTAAAGGCTTCTTAATGATCCATGAACAATTTTGGCTTGCCGCTTTAGTGATTTGAATCTGATGAATATTTGGGGAATGTAGGATTTGACAGCTCTTTTATAATCCCAGCCTAGATTTCAAACACCTCCCTGATACCCACAAAAGTAAAAATAAATAAAAGATCTATACCTCAGCACTCCAAGAACCTGTTTCTGTCTGGGACACTCGGTATGTATAAATGTAACCTTGATACCTGTGAAAGAATAAACTCCATTACTGAAAAATTCCAAAAGAACAGTGGATGCTCTCAATTTGAGCTTGACTATTACATGTAACTATCACATATACTGAGACACACATATATGACACCATGAACTCATAGGAAGAAAAACCTGGGGAATCTAACTGGCTTGCATATTATATCCAGCTAATCAGCTTCCAGTAAGCCTTCTTTATCTTTTCCTTTAAAAAAATTGCGCGAGCTCACACTCCTACAGATTTGTCTAGTTGAGAGAAAGTGTAGACAGAAACAAACTAGACACCTATGTTGCAACTGGTAAAAACCATGAATTTTTAAATAGATTTAACTAAGTGCAGTCTTGTTACTTTTAAGTACATAGAGAGCCTTAAGGTGAAAATATTTCACTGGCATAAGGAACTATCAGGCCCACTTAAAATAATGGTAATAATAATATTAATTATAAATATAATAAATATAACACTATAATCCTATATTACTATTACTATGTTACTTAATTTTTTAATGTTTTTATTGACTTTTTAGAGAGAGAGGAAGGGAGAAGGAAAGAGAGAAAAGCATCAATGATGAGAGAGAAATATCAATTGGCTGCCTCTTGCACACCCCCTACTGGGAATTGAGCCCACAACCCAGGCATGTGCCCTGACCTGGAATCAAACCGGTGACCTCCTCGTTCATGAGTCAACACTCAACCACCGAGCCACACCGGCCAGGTAAATAATATAAAATAGCAGTAACAGTAGTTTGAATTTAAAAGGAATCCTGCCACCCAGTGTGCCTGGAGGGCAGAACATCAACCCAAACAACATTATTCTCAAGTATTAAGATCTAATTAAGTATTTGAAAGCAGCTTGTCCTTTCAGATGGGATAAATATTGCCCCTCATTACTCAGTATGTATGCATATTATATATCTATATATTTGATTTCTACTGTATACCAAGAGTCTCATAAGCTATATTAGTTTGCTCAGGCTGCCATAGCAAAATATCATAGACTGGGTAGCTTAAACAAAAGAAATTTCTTTTCTCACAGTTCTTCAGGCTGGAAGTCCAAGATCAAGGTGCCAGCAACATAGGTTTCATTCTGAGGCCTCTTCTCTTGGCTTGTAGTCAGCCCCCTTCTTGCTTTTTGCTCATGTGACCGCTTCTTTGTGTGTGTGCATGCACACAACAATCTCTCTCTTTTCCTCTTCTTCTTATAAGGCCACTAGTCTTATTGGATTAGGGCCCCACCATTATGACCTCATTTAACCTTAAATACATTCTAAAGACCTATCGCTAAATATATCCACATTGGGGGTCAGGCTTCATCATGTGAATTTGTGCGCGACATGATTCAGTTCATAGCATTCCACCACTGGTGCCCCCAAAGTCACATCCTTTTCACATGCAAAATACATTCATTCCACATTCCATCCCAACAGCCCCCAAAGTCTTAACTCATTCCAGCATCAAACTCTAAAGTCTAAAGTCCTAAGTTTTATCTAAATATCGTCTAATCAGATATGGGTGAGACTCTGAGTATGAGTCATCTTGAGGCAAAATTCCTGTCCAGCTGTGAACCTGTGGAACCAGATGAGTTGTGTGTTTCCAAAATACAATGGTGGGACAGGCAGAGGGCAGACATCCCTATTCCAAAAGGAAGAAAGAGGAAGGAAAAAAGGGTGACAGGTCCTAAGCAAGTCCAAAACCTTCATAAGGCCAATTCCATTATTGGGTCTTAATACTTGAGAATAATGTTGTTTGGGTTAATACTTTGCCCTCCAGGCACACTGGGTGGCACTGTCACCCCCACAGCTCTGGGGGGATAGCTCTACCCACCCAGCTCTGTTGGGTTCTGATCCCACCTTTGAAAACTAGGTGGAAGCAGATTTGCTCCCTCCCCCCCCTCCCCACTGGGTCTGTGATGGGAGCGGTACTCCTGATGATCTCTGAATCCCCTCATGGCCATTTTTCCCTTTTCTTGAAAGATAAAGCATGTTTGCAGCAAAACTGCTTTGTGGTCCTCTATTATTCCCTTTGTTCCAAACTGACAGTGTTTCTGAGGCTTTGATCCAAACTCTATTCCTGGCTTTGGCTGAACTGGCTAGTTAACATCATAGGTAATCTCCTTAAGGAGTGCTTATCTGGCCACACCTTCGGTGTTCTCTCCAGAAGAAGTTTCCTCATGTTTTGCCATATGGTTAAGCTAAGAATTTTCCAAATCTTTAAGTTCTGATTTCTTTTGGTTTATTAATTCTTTCTTGAATTCATCTCTCTCCCTTTGCATTTTACTATAAGCAGTCAGGAGGAACCAAGGCGCTCTTTCAACATTTCACTTAGAAATTTCTCCTGCTAAATACCAATTTGCAAATTCTACCTTCCACAAAAGACTAGAACACAGTTCAGCTAAGTTCTTTGCCATTTATTTATTTTCTTTTTTTAAATTTCTCTTTATTATTGAAAGTATTACAATGCCCCCCCCCCCT